AATTGCAAGTCTCAAGTTCAAAAGTGAACTGAATAGCAGGATCAATAGAATTCATTGTTGAAAGAACTTTATTTAAATCATCTTTATTACCTTCAAACAGAGTAAAAGTATCGTCTACGTAGCGGAACCATGCCGGGAAGTTTAAAGTTTCAAACAATTTTGATTCATAATAAGGCATGTAGATATCAGCCAGGATGGGACTGAGGGGGCTTCCATGGCTAATCCCTCAGTTTGCTTGTAATATTTATTTTGGAAAACAAAATGTGTTTGTTTCAAACAGAGTTGAGTGAGAGAAATTAGCTCATCAATTTCGATGCAAGAGAAATGAAATTCGCGCAGTCTGGTTTCTAGACATCTTAATGCAGCCTCAACTGGGACATTGGTGAATAATGATTTTACATCAAAAGAAACCATGAGTAAATTACTAGGAGAAATGTTTGACTTGTTTGTTTGTTTATATTTTGTATATTTGGATATTGTGTTTTGCTTGTCTGATTTCATGCATTTTGCTTACAAACGTTTTGTTTTCTATTAATTTCAGTGAGGGTTTTTTTCTGCTGTTTTGTGTGTGCTTTATTATTGTTTAGTTAATTTAGTTTGATTTTCTGTATTGTTTATCATGCCTTCATCCGTTAATCGTTTCACTAAATTACGCCTGAAACGGCAAAAATTCCTGAATCATCTTGACTTTTTACTGAAATGTAAATGTAAAAAATTGATCCCCAATTTTATTCAAATCAAATCTAATCAAAAACCTTCGAGTCGCATTTCAAGAATTCTGTTAAATTGCAAGCTTGCCTTACTTCGGTCCGTCATAAGGGATACACGTCAGCAATTGTCCAAAATTGAACGTGAACTCTATAAGCTTCATCTGGAACTCGCTAAATCATATCCAAAATTCACTGCCCTTGAACAAAAGTCTTGGTCTAGAACGGAGAATGCAGTTAACCGTCATAAAAACACCCTTGCAGTTAAATTCGAAAAACTTCTTTTACAATCTTCCAGTTCAAGTAGTTCAAAAAATCTTCCCATTGTAAACATCAAGCCAATAGTTAATATTTCTAATGTTAGTCTTTCAGAAGAACAAGAGAGAGTTCTAAAATATAATTTTAACTTCTCACAAACCTGTAAACCCTCGATTTCAAAGGTTTTGGCTCCTATCGAAAAAGCTTTCAAGTTCAGTAAAGTTTCAGATTCACAGAAAGAAATGATTAGGCATCTTATCGCTCATAATGTGAAATTCAATAATAAACCTTTGAAACCAAATCTAACTGCGAGAGAAAGAGCTACATTGCGTGAAATTCATTCTAACCCGGATATTATCATTTCAAAGGCCGACAAAGGTGGCCAGATAGTCATCATGAATAGGAATACTTACATCAATGGTGTCACTAAACTCTTAAACGAAGGACCATATAATCCGATTCCTAAAGATCCTTCACCTTCGGACTTGTCAAAAATAAAAACTGCGATCAAATCTTCGCAAATCATTTCAGGCAACTTAAAACATTCACTTATCCCATCTGTTGCGAATTGTGCCAGATTATATGCTCTTCCTAAAATTCATAAAAGTGGTATTCCTTTCCGCCCTATTGTATCAAATTTAGGTACTGCCTCGTATCCATTAGCTAAATATTTAGTTTCTAGATTTTCAACTCTATTAGACAATAACATTTACACCATAAAAAATTCAATAGAGTTTGTAAAAAAAGTTAAAAACATTTCTCCTAGTAATTTACTCATGGTTTCTTTGATGTAAAATCATTATTCACCAATGTCCCAGTGGAGGGTGCATTAAGATGTCTAGAAACCAGACTTCGCGAATTTCATTTCTCTTGCATCGAAATTGATGAGCTAATTTCTCTCACTCAACTCTGTTTGAAACAAAACACATTTTGTTTTCCAAAATAAATATTACAAGCAAACTGAGGGATTAGCCATGGGAAGCCCCCTCAGTCCTATGTTGACTATGTTGTCCTATGTTGGCTGATATCTACATGCATTATTATGAATCAAAAATTGTTCGAAACTTTAAACTTCCTGGCATGGTTCCGCTACGTAAGACGAATACTTTTACCCTGTTTGAAGGTAATAAAGATGATTTAAATAGAGTTCTTTCAACAACAATAAATTCTATTGATCCTGCTATTCAGTTCACTTTTGAACTTGAGACTTGCAATTCTCTTCCGTTTCTCAACATTCTGGTCACACGTAACACATCCAACTTCACTACTACGGTTTACCGTAAACCTTCATCGGTTTGCCTTCCACCACACTTTAAATCATGTTATCCGACTAAACAAAAGTTAGCTTCATTTTATTCCTATGTTTTTCCGTGCTCTTCAAGTTTGCTCCTCCAAACTAGCCCTTGATGAAGAACTAAATTATTTAAAAGCAGTAGCTATTGACAGAGGCTTTCCAACCAACATTATTAATCAAGCAGTTAAAAAATTCTCATCTCAACACACTAAAAGGCACACTCTTGTTTTAGGAGATTATAAAAATTCTGTTGTCATTCCCTTCTTTCCATCAATTAGCTATAAAGTTGCACATATTTTGCAGAAATTTAACTTTTGGGTTGTTTTATTCTCCCATCAATAAAATTCCGAGTTCCATACTCAAGGACCCCATTCCGGATATGAATTCCTGGGGTATTTATAGGATTCCGTGCCAGTGTGGTTTAATTTACATTGGCCAAACTAAGAGAGCCTTAAAATTTTGCATCAAGGAACATGAGGCATATGTTAGAAAAAAGGAAACACAGAAGTCTTCTGTTGCTCAACATTGTTGGTCCGAAAACCACACTTTCAGTTTTTCTGCTGCCAAAATTATTCAAAAAACATCTTCCATTGGAGAACTGGATTTTCTAGAGGCATTTCACATTCATAAAAATCTTTCTGTTCTAGTTAACGATCCTAATTCCAATCCAAATTTGCCTTCGGCCTTTAAAGAAATTATGTTTTAGTTCTGGTTTCACCCAACAGATGGCGCCACTTGCTTATTCTTGTCCAGGCTTTCTTATCTTATCTAATCATTATTTTCTATCTGGTTCATTGGCGGTTTTGCAGCTGAAGATGGTGGTTCGGTAAAACCATCGAAACTAGTCCTGTGAAAATTTTGTAAATATAACGCTGATTTTTGTTGTTTGACTTCTGAATTAGTATTTATTCGGCGTGTTATTGTGTCTTAGTTTTGAAATTGTTAATTTCAACGCCGGGAGTGTTTTGTATTAGCTGAGAAATGCTTGGCGCCAGAGCGGAATGCTGGCTAATGGTGCATGTGCCGCCGGAATTGACGTTGAAATGTATTCTGTGAGAAACTTGATTTATGGTACATTGGAAGTTGCGATTCATATGTTACGCTGGAAGGTGGAACCTAGCGCCTGAGTGTCGCTATGGAAAATAAATGTATTTAAACTGTGGAATGTGTGTGGAGTTATTTTATTATGATATACAGCTATCGGCGGGAAATAGAATTAAGTCATTTCAGATGCTTTAAGTGATTTTTTAATGTTGCACTTAAAATAATAGTGATGATTTTAACCAAATGGCAATCATTACATATGCATTATTTTGTAGTCTTCATTCACATTATCTGATAGCCACAAAAACTTTAAAACTTTCCTCTCCTTTTTAGCAATTCCAATCATCAAACATGTTTTCTCACTATCAGCACAAAAAGCAATTTCGAATTTTCTGACATTTAAAATGACCAGTACACTCGAATTTAAACTTAAACCTGTCTCTAAACAATCATTCAAAGAAAGATACAGTATTGTTTTCGAACTATAACTGAAACCCACGAGAACTTTTAATATTTTTATCAGTTCTCGCAACTGCTTTGTGTGGCATAAAATACACTTTAGCATAAAAACCCTACAGCATTATTTAACAATTCTTTTACTCTGTTGATCTTTAGATACTTATGTTTATTTGTCTATCCTTTCATTTATTTGACAACCATTCATTAATTTTGAAATTAATTTTTAAATCCTCAAGCATTTATTTAGCCTAGCAAATGTTGTGCAGCAAATCTGTTTGCCTGGTTCCCTATAGCAAACAAACTTCATAAATTATAGCTATAAACCTCACATTGTTGTATTAAATTCTCCTCTGCAATTGCTTATTAACTTAGAAAAATCTGTAATTTCATAAAATTTGCATATCAGGGCTAATGCAAAAATTTGTTTCAGGAATATTGCAAGTGAAGTATAATGCTGTTGTTGTGGCTACTCCTACTTGTCTGGTCTAATCAGAACAAGCCTATGCTTGTTATCATGACAAGGCATGTAAGATTACATCTGTCACTGGCATGAGCCCCATATAGGTGACAGAGTGACTTCACCTAGTTTCACCTCAATGTTGAAGGACAACCCAGAAGATGGATGCATGGGGTGTCCATCCACCTCTCCTTTCCTACCATCAAACCACTTGAGAGGAATTTTGGCTCGCCGTATATTTAGAAAGAGCCCCATGCCATATACACACTACATATACAAATATCCATGCCTTTTCTAGGATTCGAACCTGGGCCCATCAGTGCATCACTAACTACTATATCATCTGGGTGCCCCAGATAGTACTACACTGTCTAGGACATTACAATAGATGGTACTATAATTTGCATATAGTTAATTAAAGTGTTACAGTTGAGGATTTGGAAATGTTTTTATGAATGCACTTCCCACTTTCTTTGGGATCATCAGTGAGGTCTCCAAAATATGCAAAATGCACTAAAAAACTCTACATCTTAAGCTGTAATACTTTAGCTATATATGTAAATGTAATATACAGCACCATATGTTATAACTCACTTACAATATTCCTGCAACCACTCACTCAAACTCTTACATGAGTGAAACTTTTAAAATACTCATCTTGGAGATATTACAATGCCCACTATGGATGATCTCAACACACAGGAAAGAAAAAACTTGCAAAGCTAATCACGTTTAGCTTCACTGATATTTAGGATTAGAAAAGTATAACACTGCATAATACCTGAGTCTGGACAATTTCATTTTTTGTCAACTGCATATCCCCAGTAAGTTCTTTAACTTGAATACCCAAAGGATTTAGCTTGCTACTGAAATTTCTCACCATTTCTGCTGCCAAAGCTTTCATGGGTGCTACATAGACTATCTAGAAATAATTTTTATAAATAAATTATTTTACAAACAAACACTAAATTACTTTCAATAAAAGGGACAACTAATTCTTTCTTCTTAAGCAAAAGAAAAATTGTATAAATGAATAAGTACTGATATTAACACATAAGAGTTTTATAAAGAGCATAAATGAAATTGTTACTTGTGGGCTATTTGGAACCAGGTGCTGTGATGGGCAAAAAAGTAACTTAGTCATGAATCTTACTATCAGTTACAATGAAGTATGTGATGTAATAACAAAAGTAGTCTAGCTGAGTTTTAGTTACTTATTTTTTAATGGATACTGTACATCATACGCAATATATATTCTGTATTCTGAACTCATTACCTGTAATGCTCCAGATTTTATTCATTCTGCTCTTAAGATTTCGGAGAAAACAACAAACATCTTCTTTCAGTACAATACGCCGAAGATTAAAGCCAAAGCTATGACAAAGACAGTATTTATTGACAAGTTACGGCCATTCTTGGCATTTACTGTGGTTCTCTGTTCCAGATAATCCCCAAAAATTAAAATTTTACATTATCATGTAAAGATCTGATAAATAGTTATACATTTGTAATAAAAATTAATTTTAAATACAAATCTAAATTTATTAAATTTACAAGAACTTTTTATTCTCAACTGCTAATTACAGCTTACAATTCCATTCACTATATATGATATTAAAAACACAATGAGAGTACTAAATGCAACGCATTTGATGAATAATATAAATATAAAAAAATTTGGCATTAAAAATTGTTTAAACTAAAATCTTTTAGCAAGTTTTTCATTATTTATTACAAAATTTATATGCTGAAAATTTATTATGAAATGTCATTATTTATTCTAAAATTTATGAACATCTTGCTCTTAAAGAAGTGTGGCCATGTCTGATTGCTTGACACTGAGAGAATTTTATTCAATATCTATGCCAACCTAAAATTGCTTTTTTGGCCTCACTTTGAAATTTTCCTTCAGCATGTTTTAATTCTAATCTGAATAACAAGGTATTAATGAAAAAAGTAAGATCAATAGTTCAATAAAAAAAGATAAATGAAAAGGCTATCATTAAAAAGAGTACAAAAATATTTAAAAATTCACAGAGGGAAAACTTTTCATGTAACTGCTATACATGCACACTTACTTTAAATTTATTTTTTTGTATAACTCCATTCTCTATATTATTCTTAATTTCATGAACTATAGTCAATAGAGCCACATTTGTTTTACCAGCACCAGTGGGGGCACAAACAAGCATATTTTCCTGTGTATGATATGCAATGTTGAAAACCATGGATTGAATACGATTGAGGCTTTTAGTTCCTTTAAAAACCTGCTGACCAATCTAAAATATGGAAGTACAGTTTTTAATATTACCTATAATACATTTCTTATAACCATGATTACTAAAAAATATCAATAAATAATTAACATAAAAATAAATACAACATATCATAAGATATGTACACAGTAAAACAAGATTATCACAAAGCTACAGAAATGCCAAATGCCAGATACGTGAAAATTCTGGATAACTTGCATTTTGTGGTAGAAAAGCTAAAAAACCAAATGAATAGAAAAAATTTCCAGTCTAAAATATAAAAACAATCAACTTATTTGTTATCGATTTCAATATCAAAAGCCTAAATTTATATTATGCAAGATTAAGAAGAAAATTAAAAATTCAGACGTAAAAACCGATGTATTTATATGGGAATAAACATTTTATCCAATTATGATATCCAGCCAGATTTGCACCAATCATTCCAGCTGAAGTTTACAGGTACTAATTGCTTTTATTTAATTAGATAGTGATATAGATAAAATGAATAAAAAATTTAAACTGCATGTCATTTCTTATGTTGCATCAACAGTGTTCACTTTTTTCAAATACCAGTTCATAAAAATTAAATGTTTTTTAATGCCAGGATCCCATAATTTTGTAAAAATTTTATTGTGTGCTGCTCTGTTGTAAACGTTAAAGTTTAATAATTTTTCTAAAATGCAACAGAAAAACAGATAGCTTAAGTTCAGTTAACTTATACAGTATAAAGCTCGAAATCAGGACTCGTCGGGACTTCGGCGATTTCAAATTTGGGATTTTTCCGGATATTAGATCATCAGTTTAAATCCAGTAACATGACATGTAGAAATTATAAAATTAAAAATATGAAATCGTGATTTATGAAATAATGAAGTATTTATGATTTAAAGGGTATCAAAATTTACCAAAAAAAAAAAAAAAAAAGCTTAATATTTATTTGTTTACCTTATTAAACATTTCTTTCAATGTAAGTTGTTTAAGTTGCTTCACTTTTTGTGCTAATACTTTCTCTTTAATTCTGTAGACAAATATAATCTCTTGTTTAGTTACATTGTTGAAGTCCTGCAACTGCTGTTTCGAGAATTCTGACTAACTTGTCAATTGAAATTTTCTCGTTTTCAGTAACTTCTCTGTCACTTTCTTCACTATCGGTAGCGGTATTTTCTGGATCTAGAACCTTACTACAGATTTCGCCATTCATTAATTGATCGATCATTGAGAAGCATTGTCATCACAATGAAAAACTTCTTTTATATCATCTTCGTTTATTACTGCTTCTCCACATTTCTTTACAAAATCCGTTAACTGGAAAATTTCACCTTTGTTTTGCGATATCTGAAAACCTTTAAAATTAGCGGCCATCATCATAATATTTAGCTATCCTTCACTATACATATTTGGCTATGCATCATGAGCTTGACGATTAACGAGAAGTTGTCCGTTAAATTTTATCTTACTTCTATCATGCACTGAGACAATTAAGCCTAGTTTAAGCTTATTATTAGTTTAGTTATTTATTATACTTATGTCTATTTCTTGCACATGCTTAAGGCTTATCAGAGTTCTGATAAATAAATTCCCACCTATACCGAAGCCTTTTTGAGTGCCGGCGCTAAATATCTTACCACCTGATGCAATCTCTGTGGGTCCTAAATTCTGCGACTTGGTGCGGCCATACAAGCCCTTGCTCTGGTTCTGGGTTTACGTGAATAACAAGTCAATTATTCTTAACTCAAATAGCCCTAAATGTAATCTTTGGGTCTATGAGTATCATCAACAAAATCTATTTTTAGCATATGGAAAAAAATTGTGGGTAAATTTTTCATGTACATTCTTTAGCACATTTAACTTAAATCTGTAATTATCGCCAAGTGTAATGTCAACATAAAAGGTTACCATACTCCCTTTATTATTCAATTACTAACATAAAAAATTTTTTTAGGCATCACTACATGAATCATTACTCAAGTTGTCATGTTTTGATAAACATGCAATGATAAAAGGAAAGTATAATAAAATAATCATTCCCCAGGTTGGCATCATATCAACGATGTATCTATGCGGAATGTTTCCGTTTGAGATGTGTGCCAAGCAGATATACAGCAACAGAGGCAAATTACTGATTGTACAAATTTATGCTAAAATGATTGTTTCTTCAATAACAAAGTATTTTATTTAATGTTGAAGTGAAATTAAGAATCAGACTCTCCAGATGTTTTATTATGTGCAGAGGGGGGAATCAAATGCACATGCGTAAAGCCTATGAGAAAAACATTTTTGGTGGTTTTGAGATCATTCCGGATAGTGGAATGATCTAAAACCCGGACCTCAAAACTTTGGACTTGTTTATAAAAATTAAATGGGTTTATCACGAGTTAATAAAGGGTTGATGCAAAATGAAGGTAAAGATCTTATGATTGCATTGTGACATCCTGCTTATCCATTACTGCCACTATATTGCACTGTATGATGACCGCTTTTGTTTGTTGAAATCAGGTAATGGTAAAGTCATAAATGACCAATGCTAAACATATACTGGTGACAGCAATTTTATAATAAACTCAATGCATGTTGTGACCATCTGAATTTCTCATATGTAACACTTCTCTTTCTATCAGCTTGAAGGATAAATTCTTGGAACAGTACAATGGATGCAATAATGGTTGAAGGGGACAACTAATATTAGAAAGAAAATCCTCAACATATTCATATTTTAGTTGACACAAGCAGGATACTAAGTGCTAATCCTATATGTGCTCTACAGTTGCTTTATAAGACTCTCATTTCTTGAATTTTTCATAAAAAGTTTCTAAAATTTCAAAATATTCTAATTATATAACCTTTTCTAGGCAGCAGAATGCCAGTTAGCCAAGCTCTTATTATACATAAATATATATATATTCTTTTCGCTAAGGTTTTACAATTTTACTTATGTTTTTAAATTCTTTGGATTATGTGCTCTTTGTTTAAAGGTAAAATTTTGATTTGAATTTTTCATTAAAGTATTTTATTAATTTAACTTACATTTTAAATTCTTTGAATAGAATTTTCTTTATTCAAGATTTTAATTTTAATTTACTTTATTGTTTCCTTGCTTTGGGAAGGGGCCAGAATTTTTGGTTGAACTATTATAATTAAAATACATTGGAATGGTTCATTGGCTAATTCTGGATACAGAAAAGCAAGGATTTTTGTGGCAGAGAGATTTCGATTTCATTATTCCTTCTCCTGGAGGAAGTGGCATTGAGGTTGATTAAATTCCTTTTCTATTGTGCTCTTTTTCCTTTAAATATCATTGATTTTTTTCAATTGGGGTATTGCTTGTTTGAAGAGTTTTGGTTTTAACATTTATTAAATTCCTTATTGCATTTATAGGACTACTTGAAATTTTCTAATTTTCTTACTTTATGCCTTTACTGATAATTTTTCAGCAGCTTAATGTGCAAAAATTCGAGACATGATTATATTTTATAATTATATACATACATATATATATATATATATATATCAGTGGCTGCCAGATTTCATGTCAATAAGAGCTATATGCTGGAATTCAGGGATGTTTGAGAGCTGTAACAAGATTTTCCAAAAGCCCCAAGCCACATTTACTTCATTCTAAAACTAATGAAACAGGTTACAAATGGAAATGTCTGATAACTTTGTAAAAAGAAATGAAATAATTGGATTACTTTCTTTTAGGCAATGAGTAGTTTGCTTTTCCATATTTCATACATACATTTTATCAGATGATCTTCACTGACTGTGAAAGAATTAGAAACAATTCTCATCAAAATTCAGTAAGTCATAAAAAAATTGATCCTTAAGATATACCTATTCAAAGTGAGAAGAATTATTTCCCTTACCTGCACATTTAATATTGGAGAAACAATTTTGAATTTATTTTACACAAAAACTGAATAATTCAGACTTTTCAACCAAGGATATTTTATTAAAACAATTTAATTATAGAGAAAACTTTCTAAATTTATTCTGAAATGGATAGAAATTTGAATATCTTATGAACCTATGACTAGCACACATGGTGCAGAAATCAAAATTCAAAAATTCAAAATTAATGACTTGATATTCGTAGGCGACAAACATTTGCTAAAAAACACTTGGAAAATGAGTAAGATCGATGCTTTTCCTAGCCATGATGGACTGGTAGGAGCTTATAGCATTAAAACTACAGATAGAAAATTCAAAGACCAGTTCAACTCCTGTATCTATTTGAAATACAGGGCTAAAATGCTTTATGACTGACTGTAACAAATAAAGTTTACATATTTTATTGAATATCTGAGTAATTTTCTTTTATAAGTGTAATATAGAATTTCTACATTTATAATATTATTAAGTATAGTTGTAACTGAAAATGTTTAACAAAGATTTGTATAATTTTGACATTCATTTGATTAAGCCTTAAAATTTATTAGATTTACGTAATACAGTAGAAGTCCAGAAATCCGCAAAGCTTGGGACAAGAGGTTGTGCGGATTTTAGGATTTTGCAGATTTCAGGACAGAAAAGATAAATCATAATATTCAGACTAAAAGTGCAAAATAAATAAGGTGCATTAGATACATTTATTTAAATTATTATATACATTATTGCAATAACTTAATGTATGGATTAAATTATTATTACATATATAAATTGATTATATTATTCATTGTATTTTATATGTACACAGCATCGAGGTTTGCTGATTTCGCCTCATGCAAAGATTTCCAGTTTTGGATTCCAGTGTTAGAACCACTGTTGCTGTAAAATTTCAACAGCTTTTCTTTATTTTTCCGTATATCATACACAATCGTGTCGCAATTCCATACGATTCTGCTATAAACTGAGGAGTAGCACCTGCCTCCATCTTTTGCAGAATTTGCACTTTTTGTATTACCGTCAATGCAACGTGTTTACATTTTTCAACGTTGCAAGCGGTAAAATCAAGTTGCATTTCTTATCTGTAATTAGGGCTGAAATTTGAAGTATTCTTAATTAATCCACAAAATATCAGAATTTAAAAAAAAAAGGCCGCACTAAATAATCTCGTGATATAACATAGCTCAGAAAATATAACAATGTGAATCATGAACTTAAAAGAAGAGTTGAGTGAATCGTCTGCTTTTTTACCTCAATGCAGATTAGAAAGGGAAAAACTTTTATCATAATGTCAATAATTTGGTAGTTCCGTTATGACTTATTATTATTTGGTAATTATGATGTAATTATTTGGTAAGTATTTTTTCTTCGATATTCGATACTCAACGTTGCGGTTTCCGCAACCTATAAACTGAATGTTTATATTTTGAGAGGCAATGCAGATTTCAGGAGTTTGCGGATTTTCGGTATTTGACTGTAATTAGAACATTATAGATTTAATATTGGTGTTTTATCAGAATGTGAGTTATGATTAACCTAGTTCATCTTAGAGGGGAAGAGGAATGGCATAGAGAATTTGCACAGATGGCTTAACGTGCCGGCAGTGTTTTATTACTGTTTTGATCAGTTCAGCGTGAAAGAAACTCTGGCCTGTAATGATGAGAGCAAAAATGCTTGTTTTTTTATAAAGACCTTGAAATAATTCATCACATTATAAGCATAGTACTATAAGATAATTGGACAAGAAATAAAATAAATGAAATTAGTAAAATAAGGAAACTATTAAGATAACGTTAGGCTAGACTATTATGAAATATGCTCAGGAAGGAATGCCTTCATGTAAGACTTACAAGTAATATGAGAAAATAGCTTATACAGGTATTACACACTGAGAAAACCACAAAAACTTCATACAATAAGTGTATTCCGTGGCTAGAAATTTAACCTTGGACAAAATACTGGTGTTTGATATTCTTGCCCAATATAGGATTTTAAATTCCATAAGAAAACAGTTTTAAGATAAGTGACTGTGAAATAGAAAAAAGGAACTGAAAAACATTTTGAAGAATAAAAATAAAGCCTGCTTGATGAAGAGAGACTTCATTACACTGTTTCTTGAAATGTAGAACATTTTCTTTTAAAATCAACACTAAGCTAAAGACTATGTATTGGATTATTTAACTAAGGTAAAGCATATGAGAGCTGTCTGCCTAAGATCTATCTCAATTTATGAACCTCTTAAGTCTATTACAACCACACTGTTTAACAGTAAAGAAAGTGTGGAAATATATTAAACAAAACACACCATTCTTGTTAGACCCCATTTAAGAATTAGTGAAAATGTAATGCATATAAAGTGGATATAAATAAAAATTGCTATGCATATAAATATAACATTAAAATGTTACTTGATCAGTAAACTCAAAATGGTAAATTTAGAAAAGGTTATCATTGTCAAATATACAGCCATGAAATAATTTATGGAAACATATAAAAACTTTGAATTACCTCATCTAAAGAAGAGATTTGAACCAGATCTCCCCCAATATTTGGAGAAATGGGTTCAGATGGGGGAATGTGCAGTTCCTCAAAAACATAATTGTTAATTCGCTTGGCATTTTCAGGCAGAGCAAGCTGGAAAGAAACACAACTCAACTTGGTTACAGTGGTTGCTAATAATGAAAGAATATTAATACTGTAGCAATTTTCCGTAAATTTCAGTTTATTTGATTACAGCTTGGTTTCTGTAATATCATGTATCACTTTGTATTATTTATTTGGTACATTTTACGTAATAATTTTAATGCACATTTTTGTTTAATTGAATGCTGGTTACATATTTTATTTAAAATATTTATTTAGCATTTAAATTTGTAAAGCTTGTAATTCTGAATTGACTGATGTTAAGATAATGATTTAAATTTGGACTATAACAAAAGTCTGACTAATTAAGTTTCACATTACCTGAGGTGCAATTATAAGTGTAATATACAGCTTTCCTTTCATTTTATTGAAGTTTTGCCAAGAATATCTCTCTTATCTCAAAGAAAATTAATATAAGATTTTTCAATATCTTAAAAGTTACTAAAATAATAACCTTTACATATTATACAAAAGCAATACATCTGCTAACATTCTAGTTGCAGAGAAGAAATAAAAAATTACAACAAAAAAAAATGAGAGATATCTTAAAAAACATTTCAAATGATATGCATTATGAAGCAATTTTTTTCTAGTTGCTTTTAACCATTTTACTTTTAACTTGAATATAAGATATGTCATTCACATTAAAATGCAGTAACAAACATGTTTTTATTCTTTTAACTACTTCATACATATACTTACAAAATAAATTAGCAGTCTATTCATTCTTCACACAGGCAAAAAGAAATTTATTTTAAGACATGTAAGTATTTGAAACATTCATTTGACAAAAAATAAATAATTGTGTGTTGTCACTTATTTCACTTGTGTGACAGTAGTATCAAAGGATTATGCCAGTTGTTGGCTTAACCTTTGCACACCTTACAGGTGATTGTCCAACTTTGTCCCAACATGCATCCCAACAAGACAATTCCCATGAGATGGATCTGATATTCTTCCACCCCTCTTCCCCTGCCATTAATCTTTGGAGAGGACATTTGGCTCAATAATATTTATAATATTTTACGTGCTTCCACACTACACTTCATGCTACACTGCCTTCATGATTCAAATTTGGGCCTAAGGCTATGACAGCTGGTTTCCCTACCACTATGACATTAGGGCAGGAGGAAATCATCATCAGAATATAATTCAGCAAAATAATGAAGTAGGTTATGTCATGCTGTTCCCAAACCAAATCATATAACTTTTAATGGAAAGAAATCCCCTTACTGCAGTGCTCAAAATCATAACATGGTTATATTTTTTTTTATAAAATTGCCTAATATATTATGATTACCTACAGTTTAAAAAGATCTGTGGATTATTCAATTTAGGCAAAGCATATAAGGGCTGCCTGTCAATATTCCATTCCAATTTTTATGAAGAGCCTCCCTCCTCATGATGTGGAATCCAAAGTTCTCATACTTCTCTGCCACTAGCTGCTCAAAAAGACTAAAATTATAAATGTCATTATGCTGGAAAAGTATTACAGATAAAAATGTCCACAAAGACACAGAAGAACTGAACAGGGACTTAATGACATGGGAATCTATCAATATGTGTTAACCACTATACTATCTAAAAAGACCGCAAAATATCATTTTATAATTTATGAAATTATGAAGACATTATAAGCCCCAGATCTTTTTAGTATTACAATTTTAAATACCCCTCCCCCCCAAAAAAAAATACTTTTCTTGAAGATGTAACCCTCTCAGAAATATACCCCTCCCCAATAAAACCCACTTTTCTTGATATTACTAACAACTGGTAACATAAGTTAAAGGTCAAAACTCAGTTTGGGAGATTATTTTTCAATTTAGCTAACACTGGGTGCCAAAATCCTAGCATGATTGTTTTGATAATTTAGAGATAATATGTACAAAAATATATAAAAAGGCATTTCAGCATTAAACTTTAAAAATGCCTAATTAAATTTTAGAAAATATTACTAAGAGATGTACACTGGAGAATGCCCACTAATCCCACCACTGGAGACTCTGGACTATGTATTTTGTTAGGTATTTCCATTTCTGTCCTGTAGCCCAAGCAAAAACTTTTTTATTTACATTTTAAATAAATTTTAAACTATCCAGAGTAGCATTACTACTCCATTCCCTCAGACAATTGGGATTCTACTGTATACAAAATACTGATTTTTGCAAGAATTACCCGGAAAGAAAAATTTGGAAAAATGCATAAACCAACACTGTTTTCAGATTTACGAGAAACTTGATGGAGGGGGGGGGAATCATTAAAAGAAGTGAGGAATTTAAAATATAAACCAAGTCTACACTAGTTCTTTAATTAAAAAAAAAATTACCACTAACTGAAGAAGAGGAAAAGAATTAAAAGGAATATTAATTTTAATTTTCGAAACCTTATTCTCTCTTCATAAAATTTTGAACAGACTAGAATCAGAGTTTAGTGACTGGTAAAAGTTTCTTTGCAGCTAAAAATGAATGAAAAAAATGCTACTTTTTAATTTAAAAAAACTTACAAAATCAGAAACAATATACACAGAAAATCTGAGTACAAGATTACCTTATTTCAGTTTTTTTTTATTATTTTTTAAAAATTTCATACATTCTATAGCTCTCGCTCTTTTCAAACTAAAAATATTAGATTTTCGCTCATTTTTCCATTTCAATATTATCATTCAGTTATGTCATGTTTTTCTTTCTTGGATAAAAATTAAGTTTTTGGAAGAAACAGTTATAAAATTTACTCTAACTGCTCAAAATTATTCTCATTTTTTAAATTCATATTTCTTTTCTGTTCATTAAAGTACCAGAAATATAATCTTCTGGTATTTGAACAAATACCAAACTACTGATCAATCATAACCCTTTTCCATAAATTTTATGTAATTCCCTATTTAATAGCATTTTTCTTTTATAAGATTATTTTATTCTGGTTTACGATATAAACCTGAATCAGATAGATCATAAAATAACAAAAGATCTTTGCAGTTTTATTTTTTTTTTTTTTTTTTTTTTTTTTTTTTTTTTTTTTTTTTTTTTTTTTTTTTTTTTTTTTTTTTTTTTTTTTTTTTTTTTTTTTTTTTTTTTTTTTTTTTTTTTTTTTTTTTTTTTTAGGTTTTCCCCATGTTTTTGTTCTTATTTTTTTATTAGCATGAGCTAATTAATTATTACAATTTTGGTTAGCATAAATACATAGAATAATCATTAAATCAAGGACCTTGCCCCATATTTTACTTCGAAAAAGTAAACAGCAGTTTCCCAAAATGATTAGTAGACATTTGTGTGCAGGACATCATTGAAGAATGCTACTCAGCTGAAACATAACTGAAATCTTCTTCTACCTCATGGGCTCAGTTATGGGTTATTAAATTTTCCATAACAAATGAGCTTTAGCTTTACAAATGCTGAAAGTTATTCTCTAACATTAGCCACTCCCATCTTTTCATGTTATAATAAAAACTAAGACATTTCCATGCTCGTATTAAACATACAGATGTCAAGATTTAAGGAAGATTAGTATTAATATTTAACTAAATACATCAGACTACAGGAAAGGATTCCACATCATAAAATGGATATTAGACAATTTTGTAAGAAACAAAGATTAAAGAGAATGGAAAACTGAGATGCATTTTTCCATGTTATTCTCCCTGAAATATGAAGTTCAGTTCAGAATATATCAGTTCAGGCAGACATAGATATTTGTTGCATGTTTCACTGCAACCAACTCTTCACAGCAATGCATTCAGTGTGGCTGTGCATAAAATGGATCTCAACTGAATTTGATTCTTTCATAGAAATCTGAAGTCTGTGCATTACTGCGAGGTTCTATTAAAAGAGTCAACGTTACGTTGCTAAATTTTCCATATCTTTGCAGACTTTCCTTTTGTGATTTTGAAATATTGCACCACACTAAATTGACTTGAAGAGCAGCAAGAACTTCATAAAAAAAATTAGTAAATTGGTAAGTTTCATATTCAGTTTCCCATTGGTGAACATCAATAGGCAGGATTTTGAAAAATTGAACAAAAGAAAATGAAACCTTTCTTCTTTAAAAAAAAAAAAAAAAAAAAAAAAAAAAACTTAACTTCTGCATGCTTCAGATACTTACTGTTGATGGGCATTTTCTTGCTGATGTAATAACAGTGCACTTTGTAAAATTCTCTAAACTGGAATCAAACTGACTATCTGTGAAGCTGTAATTCTCCCCTCCCAAATGTCTTAGCACCAGTTACCAGGTCAGGATTATACATTTTAAAAGGTTTTTTCAGTTCTATTAAAATTAACATTGAAAACTGATGCATCAAAACCTTACTATTAGATCTCTTACATAAGTTAAAAGTTTTCTCAAAATTACATGCATTTTGGGAATTTGTTTTAGAAGAGACACATTAGTGGACACAAAAAGTGAAAGGGTGTTTACTGAAGGAAAAAAAAAGGTAAAGTTAACATACAGAATTTTCTGCATCTTAGAGTTAAGAAACCATCAATTGCAAAAAGTTAGCATTTTCATTAGAAAAGAAATGTTCTAAAACTTCAAACTATTCAATTATCATATTAACATAATAAAAGGCATTACCAGTGAGTACTCACGTTTCAAAATTTTAGTGAGGTTTAGATCCACATGCAGAGTAAGTTGTGCAAACAGTGGAATTCAAATGTTCTATCATAAAAATTTAGATTAAAAAACGTTTTCTCTTATTTTTAATGTCAAAACTTTAAATATTCGAAAATACTGAAATTGTGTGAGATATAAATATGCAAGACTCTTTACCACTTTAACGGATGGCAAAATTATGGTGTTGAATTCTGTTAATTTAAAATAAATTATTGATTATGTTAATTTTCAGTAAACCAAAGTTTAAATTATCATTTTCAGTAAAAAATAGTAAATTTCATGCACTATAATATGATGTAAAATACTGTGATGCTTGCTCAGGCTGATGCACCTTTCCATCACTAAGTCCCACTCTTGCAGCATTTTCTATGTAGCTTATTGTTAAAATTTACCCAATTTTAGAAAATTCATACTTGAAATATGAACTACCATTAACAACTAATGCAATAATAACAATAATATTGCCACATTTTTAAATAAAAATACATGTGATAATCATATACATTTGTTTACAGTTTCAGCAAGTGATGTACACTGTGCAAAAGAAAAAAAGGACAGTTCTATATCTCCTGTTTTACTGGGCCGACTGAAGAAATTTCATGTCTCAAAAGGACGACTTAGGATATATGTTAGATTTATACACAGCACTGTTCTAATATATTTATTTTGAAACAAAATCGGACTTTTCTGTAATAACATGCCAAGTTTTTTCATATTTCGATTCTACGATTCAGATTATGCCTAAATATTATTTGGAGCAACCTATTTTCCTTTCCTTTTTTTCATTGTAAACAAGAGGAAAAAAGTCACTGTTCACTATTTCAAATAATTTTAACATAGTGCATACACCACATTTGGCATTATTATTGCTTGTAACAAATATGCCAAATTTCAAAACACACGACTATGTAAATTCACGTATATCTTAAGAAATTTTGATTAAAAAATTGTAATTTTTTGCAAGTGTTCTCAGAAATACATCTGGCAAAAATTTTAGAGGTTATAATTAAAAAATATTATAAAAATTATTTAAACATAAATCATAAAATATGGGCGAATTGTATCTGGAATGAATCTAAATTTCAAATTCTAGAAGAAGAAATCAAGTAAGTTTTAATAAAAATATATATATATTAATAAATATAATAATGTTAATTGAATTTGAATAAAAATTCAATAACATTGAGGACATAATTTTTTAAGAACTACTTGTGCAATTTTTACAAAACTTGGCAGATTGGTATAATTTGTGTCATAGAATTGAAATATGGAAAAAAAATTGGCATGTTATTTCAGAAAAAGTCCGATTTTGAGTCAAAATACCTATATTAGAACTATGCTATATATAAATCTAATAACAATGCTATATATAAATCTAATAACAATGCTATATATAAATCTAACAACAATGCTATATATAAATCCAATACATATCCTAAATCGCGCTTTCGAGACATGAAAAATACAAGTTGAATTTTGTTAATCGGCCTATTAGAACTGGAGATGGAGACCTGTCCCTCCCTCCTTTTTTTTTTTTGCATAATGAACTAAAACATGACATGGCTCATGTAATATATGCATATGATGCCAGCACAACAACTTGAGTTGATATGACATACTGAGTGATGATTTAAGACAGAAAACAGATCATTTAAGATGATAAGATTATGACACCATAAATGTAAGCTTTGACCTTCCACTTTTGTTCACTCGCATAGAGCAGTCAAGTGATTCAAACTTGGTATCTTCCATAGCAATTTTTTATCACATCTCTATTTCTAAAATGGTGGATCAATATCAGCAACTACAGAAAATCTCTAACAGTTGGCATATTTCTAAACAGTTAAAAGAAGTCATAATGAGGCTTAAAATATAAAATTTGATACAATTACAATAATTAATTTCAATCATTTCAGAAACTGCATATATTTTTCAAAGATATTTTTAAGTTTAATATATTATAAATTTATATATAAAACCAAAATAAGATATATTATAATTTAAATATGTATTTTAACATTATTCTTGAAAATATTAGGAAAAAATCTACTTACTTTCCGCCCACTTATAAAAGATGCTGTCATTTTAGTTTTAGCATTCATATCATATACATTAGGATAAGTAGCAGTTTCATACACTGTAGATGATGCAGATGCATGATGAAACAAAGGAGTGTTATGAGCAGTGATTAAGGCTTCTTCTCTATGTAAAAGAAGGCAACAGAAAATGTACATATGTTTCACACATGCTAAAAAAGTTTAAGTTTTAAAAGGTTTTTTTTTTTTTTTTTAAGAAATCGTAATTTTTTTTCTGACAAAAGTCATTTTTAAACATTAAAAATATACAAATACGAATTTCTTTTCTTAAATAAGAAATTATAAATACTATCTAAAAACAATCTTCAAGTTTTATATGCAATTAATACAAAAATACACAAGTATCAAACATATTTTTACTATTTGAAACATTTTACAGAAAATATTTTAATCCAATACAGAAAATAATATTTTAATTTATTGTTAACAACAGTGGCAGATTTTGCTTCATTTGAGAAAGAAGTATCACAATTTTTTTCTCAGCAATTGCCACCACTATTTTTGTTAATACAAGTTAAAACACAAGCTAAAGATGATCAATGCATACATACATATTTAAGAACTTTTCTTAGTTCAGTACTACACAGCTGTTGATGTTGTTTACATTTTTCTTCCCTTTCAGAACTTTTTATTCTTCTTCTGTGTAGAATTCTTTACCAATAAATGTAGATGAATTGACTGCTGATGTTGATAAACATCAACAATGAATTCATCTACATTTAATGGTAAAAGCTGCACCTATTCTCAGCTGCTAAATTTAAAAGTAGACAGATACACTCCATAATCTGCAAATTTGAGTTCCTCCCCCCCCCAGATTTCTGTAATACCAGTCTTCAAGCCTACCATTAGTGATGCATTGTCTATACAAAGAGTTAAACAGATAGCCAAAGAAATTCTATTTGTCTTGAAAGTTTTAATAATTAGCTTTGCTATGTGAAAGTCTGTAGAATCTTTTTCAAAGTAAGGACACAAGCTGTACTCTATTTCTGAAGCTGCAAGCAACAATGACAAGAGTCATGTACAGTTTTAAATCGGTATTATCACTTACATTCCAGAAAGGCAGAAATGAGCTATTTGAATGCAAGTAATAACTGAAGATTTATCTTTCACACTCATTTCTTTAACAGTTGAAGTTTTTTTTCTTACACAAGAATGTATAGGGTATTTTCTTCATCCTTTCTGCATGTTTTCGTGGTGTAACGGTTAGCACACTCGATGCATATTCAAGAGGTCCAGGTTTGAGCCCCGGTGAGGGCATTGTGGATGTCTTCAGTTTCCACACATCGAAAAATTCTGTCTCTACAGTGGTGCCTGAACTATAAAAGGTGATGGATAATGATTCTTCTCCACCAGGATTTGGCGACTGGATCCCTTAATCCCCAGTTGCCCTTTAAAAAGGGCTGCCCTTTCTGCATGCCTTCATGGTGTAATGGTTAGCACACTCCGTGTATTTGAAAGGTTCAGGATGCCTATTCTACACTCCAAGAGTCGGCAGCAGTTTGTAGGCCACCAGATGTCGCTGCTAAAAAAAACAGGTCTGTGCACATCCCATATTCTGTGAGTGCGGAAGTCGTCAGAAGCACGGGGAAAAGTGTTGCCCCATCATCAATCAGGCTTGTGCAGTTGACGTTCTAAATAGACAATGGCTTTGCATGTGTTTTCATCACTAATTTTTTCATATTTAAACAAAGAATATGATCATAGATCTCTGAATTGGAAGCGAATTTATAGAAAATATGTTGATGCCTTTGCTGTGCCAGAAGATGTTTTCATTGCATATTTCAGATTGCCAAAATTTATAGTTATTTTGGTTATTTATACTTTTTCTGAAATTATAAATATAAATATTGTAATTATACAGTTTAAAAATGTAGAAGATATTAAGTATTTATCTAGCACATAATTCTTCTTCAGTTAATAATAATATAGACATCCAAGAAGCGTCTACTTGATTTATGTACAGCAAGAAGAAAGTTTACTTTAAAATATAACAGTGGAATACCTTACGAATAATATTGTGAACACAATAAGGAATATTGTTCATTATTACGCGAAATTCTCACTACTGTCAAATAAAAATGAAAAAAAAAAAAAAAGTATAAAGTAGTTTTATAATATTTTTTCAGTAGTAGTATTACCATTAGTGTGATACTTTTAAAAATAAATTTTAGCCCAAAGGGCCTTAGCCCAGAAGGGCTATTAATTTCGTTTTGTCATTTTGTGGCATTTCACTATAAATTGCATTTCACTTTTCAAATTGTTGCCTTCAATTATTATCGCAATGTACTATATTTAAAGAAATTAAATAATGAAGAATCTGCATAAATGTATGAATGTTTCTCGCATAACTGACCTAGAGCCATCAAATTTTGAATAACGTAATCCTCACCCGAATATAGGCATCTGGAAGCCCAATTTTGGAACTGGGTATTTGTTTTAATATCTATTTTATATTTTGTAAAACATTTATGAGTTTTTGATTAAGAAGCTCAATGATTTCAAAGCGAGCAATGGCAACACTGAACGAAAAAAAAAAAAAAAAAAAAAAAGGAAAAAAAAAAAGGAGGAAAAATCAATCTAAAAAATTTTTATCTCTAGCGCTTGAGACTGTGTATCGGAAATTCTAAAGATATGCTGTTTTTAAATTATATAAGATATTACTGTTGAATTGAATTTTATGGTTTAAGTGAGAGAACAAGATATTTAATAAATAAAGGTAACACGCGAAATGTTAAAAAAATGCCCCTTTGGGCGTAATATAAAATCTTATGTAATTTTATTATGATTTGAAACTGGTCTGTAAGGGAAGACTATCTGAAGGAAACTGGCTCATCATACATGTTACAGATGGGGAAAGCCATGAAAACGCTGATGCAACCAACCTGTTCGCGGGATTCAAACCTCGGAACGAACTACCGGCGTTCAGCGACTCCACTGGTTGGCTTATTAGCAGAATTATACTGCATTATTATTATATTATGTTATAAAGTAACAATGCTATAAGACTGAGGGTTTCTTCATGAAATAGTACTTTTGTAATCTATTAGTATTAAAAAATAATTGTTTGTTTGCAAATTAAAAAAAAATAATAAATAAGAATTAAATGCTCATAGTAGAGTTCTCATTTTTATATTGTAAAAGATATTGATTATTATTGCAGTTTTCTATTCAATGTGTCAAAGTGTTAAAATGCTGGTTCGACAAGGACTTATTCAACTGCAGGAGACTTACATTGGTTATTTTTACTTTAGTACTTCCATTGTGAAAATAATATTACCATCTTTTAATTATTTTCATAGAATAAAATCTTTTGAGAAGGAAGAATATTTAAATATATTTTATATTGAAAAATTATTTTCTATCATGTTAATTATAGGATAAATTATTTAAAAAAAAACATTTTGCTGCATGTGTGATAACTGAACGCAACAGCAATCAGCCATACTGTAATGAATATATGAATTTTATGCTTAATTTTATTGCTTTTCCTGAATGAAATAATTTTCATAGAAAGAGAAAATAAAAGAAAGGAAGAAAAATTAAATATTTCGAATTCCTTACTAAAAGAAATATTTTCTAATATTAACTGTAAAATAAATTGCATGAAAACACAGTTTTAATGTAAGAATGAAAAACATTTTAAAATAAAAAAAAACTTAGTTTGCAATTACACTGCAATGTAAATTAATCATATTATAAATTTAAATAATTAAAATTGCTTATTTCTAAAAAGTTTTAAGTAAGCTTAATTTGTTTACTCTTATCTATTTACCGTTGCTTTCATGGTATCCCACATCTCTCTTAATTTCTTAGCCCTAAATTCCTGCGTTAACTTTCTCCTTAAAAAACAGGATTTTCCTCCACATAACACAGCAGCATATTCTGCTGTGTTTTGGTCATAATATTGTTTTTGCCATTTTTGCGAACTACAATGCAGCGTGTGAGTTTGTGCAATAATGGGAGAATATTCCTAGAACTTCAGCCAGTGCGCGCTATAAATTTCGTCACTCATCTGTACTGTGATTGGTCTAAAGCTCCTTGAAGCCTTGTTCCCTTTCAATAAAATCAAATAGACCCACCCATCAACTGAGGACCACAGAATAGCCTTTCTCCGTTAAGTTGAAGACGGTTTTTTTTGAGTCAATATTGTTCGCTCAAGTAGTAGACGGACCCAGTGATCATAGAATAGGCGTCCAGGCGAGTCCCGGCGAGAGCATTGCACATTTTTCATGTTGTCCCGCTTCAAAAATACCCAATGACTACAAGTGTTTCAAAGGGCCGTTATGATCTTCCTTTGTGCTCACTGGCTAACATGCAGCAGATGATCTGCAGCTGCACTTGATGCCAAGAAGTAGATCATGTCATTTTTAGACATATCTACTCCTACATACATAGTGGTAGCAGTTGACATTTTTTCTTTTCTTTTCGCTCTCTCTCTCTCTCTCTCTCTTTTTTTTTTTTTTTTTTTTTTTTTTTTTTTTTAGGGGTCATTCAAACTGAGCTAATGAAAGTCATGAGAAATTTAAGGAATAAGAGAATGGAAAAATATGCTGCAAATTGTGTTGGCAGAATTGCGGTCCACAATTAACAGCTTGCTGCCTAAGTCGTGAGAGCTGGTAGGTCTGATATTTGAGTATTATAAATATACAAGTGAAATACAAAAATAAGATAGGAATATGTATTTAATACTGCTCCATGTTTTTTCTGGCAGAGACTTTTTATGGCAATAATAACAACGAAAGTAGAATATTTTTAACAAAAATGAAATTATCATTTAACATTTTCTTATAAAACCTACAATAATTATTACTCTCAAACATTTTCTTGCTGACAATGCATTCAATACAATGCTAAGTAAAATCCAAGAAATTATGATGAAACACAATCATAATTTAAGGAGGTACAGAAACACAGCTATTTAAAAGCATATTTTCTACACTAATATAAGTGAAAACATACAGTTGAAAACTAGATTTTGGAGTGTAAAAATAAGTTGTTGTTTTTTTAGGGAGGAGGGGGAGGCTATATAACAATAAAATATAATTCATTAATACTTCCTTTCTTTGGGATTTTTGGCAAAACTTAAATCATTTCACTCATTTTGAAAATTTGTTTCTTCATTATTCTTTTAACAAACTAAAAATTAAACCCATTCTTCCACTTTTTTATTATTCACTTTTTATTCTATGTTTACAAGAAAAAATGATTTTCAACATGTAAATTTAATTCTTCAGGGAATCGTGCATCAAATTTAACACAAGTAACAATCATCAATATCTTTCCAATGATTTTTCTGATGAAAGAATGAAAAAGCACTTATTTTTACTTAAGTCTTAACATTTCTTTTAATATAAAATTAATGGAATACTTTCATTCAAAGGGATTAATTTACATTAATGAAATTAATCAAATTATGAATAAGGAAAACTATGATTTCCAATGGCTACAACAGAAATGTTGAAAATACCTTAACTGCTTTAGGCGCTGAGGATTTAAAATTCCTGGATTCTCTTCTATACCTCTGTTCTGATCACGCTGTATGCGTTTTTCATCTTTCCGTATTTGCTTAGAAAGCAGTTTCTCAGTTTCAGACTATGAAGGAAAGACTTACATTTCAGATATAAAAATGAAATAAAATATATCAAGAAACATAATGATGAACATAAAAATTTTTTATAACTGAAGATACTGTTCAATGTAAAAAAATTCTAATTTATCTTTACCAATGCTCTCAAATGAATATACTGAAAGAAATACTTCATATTTTCAAATGTGCAAGTATACATTCAGGTAAAAATATACTTCCAAGAAAAACTAATCCACTTATATGCTGGGTATAGAAATTAGTAATGACTTCTTTTTATATTTACTAATGATTATTATATTTAATAAAAACAATTATACATATTTATTATTCTAAGTAAAATATTAAATACAAATTTTATAAAGGAAAAAAATAATGGTTGTTATCTATGTTATTTAAATATGTTAAAAAATAAATTTCTGTGGGTAAAACTTAATTTTCTCATTCACTTTCCTTTAAATCATAGGCACAAATTGAAATTCATTTATTTTTCTTTGAAACAGAATGCTTCCTTTTTATCTTCTACTGCTGTTACTATACCATTGTACACATCCTATTCAATATCTGAATGGGATTTTTAAATTGAATACAAATTAATTTTCTCTCAGTTTTCTGAAAACTGATACTGATCCTCTACATTAAAAAATAAATAAATAAATGCCTAATTTTTTTAAGTGTGTTTACAACAGTTTCAGCTTTTCTGCTAGCAAAGATCAAAAACTTAAATCACCTATTAATAATTAAGAGGGTCAACTTATAGGGCAAATATATCTAAAATTACTGAATATTTAGATGACATCTTACAGGGTGGAAAATATGGTATATTTGAATTATTTTAACATATGATTAACATTAATTAGGATAATACTGCAGACAATGCCCAGAGACCCCCAAATCACCTTTAATCCAAGAACAATTAAAAAACACAGGAAAAGGAGATAACTCATATTATAATTAACTAGAAAATACTATTAACAATTTACTTCTATTTTTAAGCCATTTAATCTGGAGATTTTTGTCATTTACTTACATGTATATTAAATGAACACAAAGACCTCCCTTTTATAATGATAGTTCATGATAGTAATTGTTCTATCATTTCACAATCAAAAAATTTTTTTTGTTCTTTTTTTTTTTTCTTTTCTTAATAGGTGAAGCCAAGTTAATCAGCAAGACAAAATTCTATCCCTAGTTAATCAGGAGTAGACTACAACATTATATTTACCATATTCTATAGTTTCAATCACCATTTAAGTGGCACTAATAATTTTTTTAATAATTTTTAATAAATATGCAAAAAATATAATACATTATTTACTTTTTAGGGTGAATTAAGTTTTATTTTTTTTAAGTTCTGATTTTTGTTAAGCATTTTGACGTAGAACTACTAAACAATTTGAACTAAATATTTAACATAAAATTACTCTGATTAGTCAGTGACACTGAAGAGACTGGATTTATGAACATGCATTTAAAATTTATTTATTATTGAAAGAATAAATATATGTGAGCTTGTTAAAGCCAATATACAGGGTGATCTTTTTTAAAGTGACAGTGTGTGGAGTGCAATCTAATAGCCGAAATGGCACCAAACTTGGTCTTTAGATTAATCAAAACATGGGACATCAAGACATACAATCGTACAATTAAATTATTGATGTTTATTTACTACATTAACTTCCCTGGTGAAGAATTAGACCACATTCAATAAGAGCACCGTTCTCAGAAATAACACAGTGCATTCTGTGCACAAGGTTTTCCACAGCCATATGCAACATATCATGAGGAATATTCCGCACTGTTTTTGTTATGTTGTCTTTAGAATAGACAAATTTGATACTCCACCAACATAAACTTGAGATTTAAATAACCTCAGAGCCAAAAAATCGCATGGCGTGAGGTCAGAGGAACGATGCAGCCATGCAACTGGAAAACTGTGAATTATGACTCTATCATCAGTGAAGTTTTGGCGCAACAGCTGCTTTACCTTATTACTAATGTGTGGCAGAGCACCATCCTTCATAAACATTGTCTGTTGGAGACGGTTTCTTTGCTCGAGTTGTGGAATAACAAACGTTCGTAGCATTTCGTGGTATCTTTCTGCATTTATGGTGCACGTTTGGGGTCTTGTTGGAGTGATGGTCTCAAAAAAGAATGGCCCAATTACGAATTTGGCTGTGAAACCACACCAAACAGTGACTTTTCGGGAATTTAATGGGATTTCATGCACGGTGTGGGGCTACTCAGAAGCCAAAATTCGGCTATTTTGTGTGTTTACGGACCCATTGAGATAAAAATAGCACTCATCTCCCCATAGGATGTGCCATGGGTAAGCATCATCAATTTCTACCCTGGCAAGAAATGATAGAGCGAATGGCACTCGCTTATCATAATCACTTGGTTACAGTTTGTGCAAGCGGCTGATTTTGTAGGGCTAAAATCCAAAAATGCGCAGCAAAACTCTTCAAACTGCTCAATGGAATAATTCATGTCCAATTGTCGAGCTACACCCCGGGCGCTGCTAGTACCAGCAATGGTTCCCTGCGATCCTTCGACAATTGCAGTAGCCACATCAGTTATTACATCTTCTGATACTGGTTTACGTCCTCTCCCAGTGCGAATGGTCAGTGACCCCGTATCCTCGAACTTCTTAATCATTTTCTTAAGACCATTCAGCGATAAAGGCTCCTTTCATAATTTTTTTCTGGTTCGAAATTCCCGAAGAGCTGCAGATACATTCCATTGATTCATGTAATACAGCTTCACCAGTAACTCATGTTCCGGTAACGTGAGAGGCATGTCCACTGGAGCTCGTTTACTTCAGCTGAGATTATTTGTCAGAGCTGTCTACTACTTGCTTTTATAGCCCCTATTACTGGCGTAGTCATCGCACAACATTTGCATTTTTCTTTGATACCCGTGTTTTATGCTAATTCTCATTATTGTAAGCTACAGCAGCAACACAAAATGCCCTAGTGGCGATTTTTGGAACTAAATATTTTTTTAATGGAATCCTTTTTCCCATGTCTTGAATAGTCTAAATATATCAAGTTTGATGCCATTTCGGCTATTAGATCGCACAACAGGGCGCTCCAAACACTGGCACTTTAAAAAAGATCACCCTGTCCATGAGCTCCAAAGAAAATCTGCCTTTCCCCCCCCCAAAAAAAACTATACACATTTCCACTTCTTCTATAACAATCATATTAATCATTTAATTGAGTGGTAACAGGATAAAAAAAAATGAAAACAACCAATTATGTTTTTCACTTAATTCAAAGGTAATAAAAAATGCAACTCCCATCTTTCTAAAAAGTACAGTCATCAAAATAATATCATTTGACAAATGCAAGTTTGTTATAAATTACCAAAAGTAATAATAATAAGTCAAAAAGGGGAGCAAATAAAGATATGTATTAAGAATAAAACTATCAAAAATGAATACCTGAATTACAACTTGAGTCATATACGATGGACGTTTTTCAATAACTGATGGTTCTTTTATGTTGTTAGCTTCAATAACTTTTGAGAATATTATCTCATTTCTGTGTTTCAAAATATCTTGTATAAGTTCAAATCTTTCATATCCAAGGAGATCAAACAGCTTAAAAAAGGTAACATTTAATTTTAAACTTTGGTATGAAAGCAATATTATATAAAAGTTAAAAATAACAGCAAAAACAAAAAAAGGAATAACATTTTTTTCAAAAATGTAATATAACTTATATCTACTGGTTATACTATATAAGATTAATATGGATATTTTAAGAAAAAATTTAGGTTGTATTTTTGTGCAATTGAATTTGTGACCACATATTTTGTACAACTTTGTTTATTTCTTATATAGCAGAGGAGGCCAAACTTCATGAGAGTAGGGGCCATATTTCAGGATTTGGGAGATAAATTTCCCAAGTGGTAAAATGTTACAAATGAGAACTTTTACTTCTTCTGCTCAGAAAAACAGAAGAAAGAAACTTTCTGTTCAGAAAAGTTTTTTCCAGTGATATACCGATTTGAAACTACTGCAAGATTCAACTGAAAATTCCTTTTACAGACATGAAACCTCACAACTCTATCTATCCAGTATAAAAATCCATCCTCCCAACAAACCCCAAAATTTCAACACTTACAATCATCGAGAAAGTAACTTATGATCTCTCTAAGATAGCTAAAAATAACAGTTTCATGTAAAAATGTGGTTGCAGCATATTATTGTGAACAGTTGCCAAACTTATGCCAAATGATGCTTAAAAACTCACCAACTTGCTTAGTGATGTTTGGAATGGGCACTTTGAATGTTAACGTACATCGTGATAGATTTGTTGACCGAGTAGGAGTGAGAAGATTTATCTCAACCACCATTAAATCTGTATGTGGTTCTCCTCAGATCTCAAATACTTCTCAAATTTGAAGGAGCCTCAGCATGAATTGTGTCTTTTCTAGCTTACACAGGCCCACCCATTTGAAGACTTAAAGGAAAGTGCAGCTACAAAGAACAGCAAATCTTCAAGCCAGAGGAAACCATAGAAGGACTCTAAGGAGAAATGAAGCGAAATACAGTAGAACCTTGGATTACAAACAACTCACTTATAAGCAATTTGATTTGTGAACAAATTATCTGAACAAGAAATGATCGGACAATGAAGATGTCTCAAATTATGAATGCAAAAGTTGGCAACATAATTTTTAAAGGTATTTTGAGACCAAATACAATACAGAATTAACATTCTGGACTTTCTGGAAACATCATTTTAATATTCTGAGTTGCTTAACTTTCATTAAGAAGTACGTTAGCAACAAACTTCCTGGATCATCAGCCTGGAGGAAATTATCTCCAGACTGAGTTGAAAGCGCAGACTTTCAGACTTCGGATTTTTTTTGTTTTAGCTACTTGTGATATACTATCTCTAGCCAATACCACAGGCTGGAATGTTAATAATGAAGATGCAAAGTTACTAGAGGAACATAAAAATGAGCTCAACAAGAAAAAATTACAGTAACTTCAAAAGCAACAACAAAAGGTGATTGGGGAAGAAATGTCTTCAGAAGAAGAGAATGAAAGAAAATTTACCCTAATTCTCTAATACATGAAATTTGTATAAAAAAGATGCAAAATTTTCACATGATGATATCACCATGATATAGTACCAAGCTATTCAATGACAATGCCATATCTCACTTTATAAACATTTCAAAATAGAGGCAATAAAAAAATCGCACAATAAAATTTGAGTGAAATAGAAGTTCAATGTGTTTCAAGCAGTGCTAAGTTGCATTTAGAGACAAAGAGTAAGTAAAAGCAGATGCCTTTTAAAGACAATTAAAAAAACCCAGTATTATTATGGAAATTTAGCATGTGAGCAATAATACATTTCCTGTCATTTTCCATTTATGTTGTCTCCTTTGTAGAGGTAATTATTAAATTCACTTTTAGTTTACTTTATCTGTTTATTATTGTGTTTCTTTTCTTATAGTTCATGATTTCAATTTGTTTTGGGTTATGAACTTGTGCACAAAGTATTACCTTAAATAAGCAGTCTCCTCTAGTCCAAGAACAAATTAACTCATCTTGCATTAATTCCTGTTTCAGTTTACAAGCAAGTGTATTTATGAATGACTTTCAGAAAAGAAATTTATAAATCAAGGCTTCACTATAAAGCCAAAGAACGAGGGATTAAACAGCATTATTTTTTAAATGACCTTTGCATTGCAGAAACAGAATTACAGTCAAACCCTCATATAATGAATTTCAAGGGACAGAAAGTGATGGTTTTGTAGTTAAACCATCAAAACTAGTCCTGCGAAAATTTACTAATATAATAGTGATTTTTGTTGTTTGACTTCTCCAATAACCATTATTCGGCATGTTATTTTAACCTAAATTACAGCAAGCTTGGTTTACTTTATCTAGTAGTTTGTTATATCTGCGTAACAAAAATCAGTTCTCACATAAAAAAGTGTACACATTGACTGATGAATTATAGAAAAAATAAATCTGATTAGCATTGCCACATTTATCAAAAGAAGTGAGTATAAACTTTAAATTCTTTAAAGAGATTATATTAAAGGATAATTTCAATTAACATAGCACAGAATTATTAAATTTAGTTTTTGTTCTTTTTTTCAGCCTCTACACCATCTGTTAGTATTTTATATGACAAATATCTTAGTATAAAAGTCATAAATCAGACTTTTTCCTCACTTTAAAATATGTAGACTGCTGGCCATTAAAAATTGCAACACCAGGAATGATCTGATGAACGTCAAAATCACATGAGAGGAAGAAGAGGTTGGAATATGCAAATAATTAGTATTTCAGCCGATTTAGACAACGCAGGAGGGAGAAGCAACATCAGAAGCATTGCATAAAAGAAAGGCTGTATAATGGATTTCTCATTCGGAAAGCACTTTGTGGGGTCGAAGTTTGCTCAGAATATCATGGTCTTAAATAATAAGAAGAAATGCTTACCAGCAAGTGTCAGAATGCTATAGAGCTAGGATTATTGCCTATTCAGAGTGTGGATTATCGTTCCATGATATTGCCCCTTGCACTGGTCAACATCCAACCACTGTCATGCGAATATGGAATCCATGGGTTGCTGAGGGTCATATTGAATGGCATGCAGGATCTTAATGCCCTCCTATGACTAATGCCTGAGAGGACAGACATATTGTGAGATCAGCCATGCAAAACTGTACAACCATATCATGGACCATTAGACAGGAAATTTAAAATGGGCATATTTCCAGCATGCCAAGTATCCACTCATATGGTGCATCAACGTTTGCAGCCACATGGACTTAACATGATAGCCATTACTTAGGCTTCCCTTGACAATGCAGCACAGAGAGAGATGGCGACTCTGGTGCACCAAACAACAAAGCTGGATACAGGAGTGGCACAACGTCGTCTTTTCAGACGATCTTCGTGCAGTATTCTGACAGTGGCGTACTGAGGGGGTGTATGATGCCCCGGGTGCCAAATGGTCTCCAAACAAGATTATCCTTAAAATTTCAGTTTCTATTTTGATTGATTTCTGGAAAATATATTTAAAATTAATAATCACTGTAATATAATTATTTATTTATTTTCTTGATTTGTCTGAGAAAATGTGTAATAAAATGTTTGCAGTACATCAACCAAATATCTCCCCATACAAAACATTCTTTCTGAGCACTTTATTTTTCTAAAATAGAGATATTTAATTTTTTTTAAAACAAAATGCACATATAGCTTCCACTTTTTATTTTAAAATGATAACACAACCTTGTTCCAAATTTCTCAAACATATTCAATTTCCAAAAAAGTATTCCAAGCCGCCCAGATGGTATAGTGGTTACGGAAGCCTGACTGCGATACCAAAGGGCCTGGGTTCGAATCCCAGAGAAGGCATGTGTGTAAATTGTCCGTTCCTTCATAGGAGTTAACAGTGGCCACCTATTAGGTGCCAGCACAATAAAATGGCTACCACTTCTGGCCTTGTGATACTGTGACTTAGGCTTGTCTCAGCGCAAACTTCATCGTGCTCTTACCAGCACCTTAGGTGCCCCTTAATGGGGATTCCACACATATGAGACCTTATTTGAATTGCTACTAATGGGTGAACTAGATGGGGGAGAAAAATATAGCCCCTTGCCTGTAATTACTGTGTTGCAAGAATATGGGGATGTGGGGGTGTCATAATATGTCCTGTGTAAGATATTTGTGGGCAATATCTGTACATGAAACAGAAAATGCCCCTTAGGCCTTTATGATTATGAAAATATGTGAAATAAGAAGTGATTGTGCAAACGAAAGGAATCAGATGTCAAATGTGAACAGATGGGTAGCATATGGGCGGAGGCTGAAATCATCTTCTAAGAGTTCATACGTAAAGTTATCGGCAAATAGAACTGTGTCGTCGCTTTGTTGAAAAAGTTATTGTTAATCTTTCCAATGCGAGTTTTTATAGCTTTGATTTTAAGATCTTTGAGTAAATCCTCGTTACAGATGAACCAGGATGCTCCCATGATTTTTCGAAGGAAGGTATTTTGGAATGTTTGGAGTTTTTTGAAATCAGACTTAGATGCGGTACACCAGGCCGGTGAAGCATACGTGAGTACAGGGCGAAGAATTGATGTATAAATATGCTTTTTCCATGCGAGATCAAGCTTTGAGGATGCATTGATGATTGGATAGAGTTTGCGAGTAATATCAGTTGCTTTGCCGACAGCAGATGATATATGGGGGTTCCAGGTGAGTGTTGTATTAAATTGCACACCCAAATAAGTTGCTTTGCTAACTTTCAGAATTTTACCATTAATTATTGCGAGTTCAGTGTGTACGTTTTTCCTTCTATGTTGTACAATAAGCAAAAGCTGTGATTTGGTAGCATTGATACAGGTTCTCCAGGTATGACACCATTTCTCAATTTCTTGCATATGCTCCTGTATGCATTTAATTGCATTGTCAGGATTTAAGGAACAGGACAGAATGGCTGTTTCATCAGCATAAAATGCTGTGATGAAGTTAATGTTATCATCAAAAAGCGAGAACTCCATTGCATAAATCAGGTACAAGAGAGGACCTAAATTTGAGCCCTGGGCGATGCTGGCCTGTATTAC